CACAGCATCAGAACTCTAAGCACGTGAGAGAGAGTGGGAACCTCCCAGAACATAGTATTGTGCCACGCCCAACAGAAATAACCCAGGTGGATAGCTCCTCAGTTGCTCATAGAAAATCCCACCTTGGAGTTTACAAAGACTTATGGGTAGAAAAGCCACACTAAGTAATTTACTACACTGCAGATACATTCTTGACCATTGTTACCCTGTTCTTCCAGAAACTCGTAAGATCAGGTTATATTTTTCTCATTTCATGGAGAGACAGACAGGAAAAGTGATTTACTTGAGGCTTCATGGCAAGCTACAGCTAAGACTCAAGTCTTGTGTTTCCTGCATAAATAATGTTTATGTAACATTTTGCTCTTGTATTTACCAAGGTTTGGTGCTTTAAAAATTATCTTTCTACTAATAAATCCTCAGTATGTTTGGCTAAAACAGAAAATAGTCAAAGAAAACCAGTTGAGCCCTAAAGGGTCTGCATTTATCAGTCTGCTCTGGTATCTTCATGAACAGATCTAAATGGGTTAGCAAAGGGCCACAGGGGAGCCGGGGCTTATTCAGAGGATTTAAGGCCAGATTTCTTGGATGCTTAAAACCTAGCTAACTTAAAAAAGAATGCATAAATAGGACCTAGCCCTTGACTGCTAACCAGAAGGCTGGCGGTTCAAACCCACCAGCCACTCCTCGGAAGGAAGATTAGGCAATCTACTTCCATAATGATACCACTTCAGAAACCGAAGGAAGGGTTGCTATGAATCTAGTCTGACTCCATGGCACAGAACAACAACAACAACAGCCCTAATGTAGTAAAATAGGACTGAAAGTGTAATTATTTCTTTAATACTATTTCTAAGAAGATCAAATTGTCTTTGATAAATAAGAGCACATGAACTTGTACAAGATTTCAATTTCGGGGTGTAATCAACAGGCAGATTGGAACAGAATGAGCTAGATATTTTATTGTTCAGTTCCTGCATGAGAAAATTTGACCGTGGAAAGGAAAATAGAGGTATCTGACTTAACTCAGCATCGAAAAAACTCTGGCATATTTGTTACAGATCACAAATTTTGCATGATAGTTCATTATTTACAAAGTCAGGAATAGGGCAAAATATGAATGGGAGAAGAAAAGCTTGGTTATGGGAGATAAAAGGCAGCCTTCCGTGGAGCTGAGATAGTGGCTCACACTAGAGACCTGTCCCTTGACTCTCATCTTACATTCTGTGGAAGTTTAACGGTGGCAATCTCAGCCCAACAGAAGGTACTTCCTTGCTTCTCACACCCCACCAATGAAATGATACTGGGACAGTGTCTCTCACCTTTGGAAACAGCTTGGGCCCATTGTTAATGCCATTAAATGAGGGTAGGACAGAATTCAATTTATGTCACATTTTGGAGTAGGCAGAATAGCATTTGATTCAAAGAGATAAATTAAACAGGAGGTATAATCAGTGTTTGACTATCGGGATTGATTATCCTAGCTTGTTTATTTTCTAGGTTCCCTTTGAAATCTATGAAAAAAAAGGAAAAATGTAAGTTATTGATTCCATACCATGATCATCCCACCCAGGAAGAACTATAATGAATAGTTTGGTCTTTTAAAAACTATTTTTTCTAAGTATAACTTTTTTTGTTTATTTACATATAGATGTATGATTATACTTTATTATATAATGTGATTATATTATATGTATGCTTACTATGTGCTTTAGACATATTAATTTAATTTGCACAGTTTTATTAGATTGGTACCTATTACTATACTCACCATGGGAGCTCTGGTAGCATAGTGCCTAAGGCACTTGACTGCTAACCAGAAGGCTGGTAGTTCAAACCCATCAGCCACTCCTCGGAAGGAAGATGGGGCTTCTGTAGTGATACTGCCTCAGAAACCCAAGGAGGGGTCGCTATGAGTCGGGTCCAACTCGACGGCACATAACAACAAATAACAACAACAACACCTATTACCCATTTTGTGAGGCACTGGTGGGTCAGTGTTAGCTTTCTTGCCTTCCATGCAAGACACCCAGGTTTGATTCCAGCCAGTACACCTCATGTACAGCCCCATCTGTCTGTCAGTGGTAGCTTGCATATTGCTATGATGCTAAACAGGTATAAGCAGAGTTTATAGATTCAGACAGACTAAAAAGAAAGGTGTGATAATCTGCTTCCAAAAATCAACCAGTGAAAATGCTGTGGATCCAGCTGTGTGATCTGAAACATTATGGGAATGGCACAGGGCTGGGCTGTGTTTTATTCCATTGTGCATGAGGTCACCATGATTTGGGGGCTGATTCTCTGGCAGCTAACAACACCATACCTCTTTGACAAAGGTGGAAACTTAGAGGGTAAATGGCCTGCCTAGGGCTAGTCGGTGAGTAAGTGGCAGACGGGATGGTGTACCAGCCAGCCTGGCTCCAGCCTACTATAATAGGCTCTTTACCACTATGCTTATATTTCTCTTGGAAATTTTTACTTTAAAAAGAATATGTGAAACACCTCATAACCTGGATAAATTTGGAGGACATGCTGAGTGAGATAAGCCAGTCACAGAAGGGCAAATATTGTATTCGTCCATTATTGCAAGGAGAGGTTTACATATGGAAGGAAACTTTCTTTGTTCGTTACCAGGGAGGAGAGGGGAGGGAAAATTAAAAAAAAAAAAAAAAAAGACTTATAAATAAATAAACAAATCCAAATACCAACATAGTTTATACAATCATTTACTTATTTTCCCATATTAGTAGGTTTTCACTATTATAAAATAATGATGTGGTGACCATCTTTATCCATACAGCTTTTTTCCCCATTTCAGATTATTTCTTAGAAGTAGAATTCTTAAATCAATGGTATAAATATTTTTAACATTATTGTCATATACTGTATTGCCTAAGTCTTTTTCCACCCAGCTTTATGAACTCTCAGCCCTCCATAGATGGCAGACAGAGGAGACAGACTTTTCAACTAATTAGTCAATTGGCTTTTTATAAGTAACTTCAGTTCATTAGGTAAAGAGACAACACTTAGAGCTAAAACAAAATCTTTTCTCCTAGCAGCAAGACTTTAGAGGTTCTTGTACATCCTTCCCCTTGTTATTCCAGTACACTGAGAATGAGCTCCATCTTCAGTCCCTTCCTGTCCTTACCCTAAAGTGCATCCCATTGCCATTGAGTTGATTCTTACTCCTAATGACCCTGCAAGACAGAGAAGAACCACCCCATAGGGTTTCCAAGGCTGTCATCTTTACAAAAGCAGACTGCCTCATCTTTCTTCTGTGGAGTAGCTGGTGGGTTCAAACTGCCAACCTTTTGATTGGCAGAATGCTTAACCAGTGTGCCACTAGGCATCTCTAGGGTGAAGGGACCCTCTATATTCATGAAGTTTTTTGTTTACAGGGCCATATACATTCTTCTGGAGAACAGGTCTGGAGCATTTATCCAGTTCTTAGAAGGTCACCTCCTAAGAGGGTCAGGAACCACTACTATAGATGATATTTCATTATATGTATTTGTTTGTACTATAAGAATGTCCATATATATAATAGAGCTAATGGGGCAAAGTGATAATTTCTTATCCACAGCCAAACACCCCAAGGGAATGAGTCACTGGGATCATAGGCTAAGGACCATGGTTGCAGGGGACATCAAGCTTCATTGGCATAACATACTGCACAAAAACATAGTTCTACATCCTGTTTTGGAGAGTAGCGACTGGGGTCTTAAAAGCTTCAAGTGGCCCTCTAGATACAACAATTGATATCTCCTCATCCAGAGCAAAGAAGAATGAAGAAAACCACAGACCAGAAGAACTAGATGGTGCCCAGCTACCACTGTTAACCACTCGGAAGGGGATCAGTGCAGGAGAGCCTCAGTAGAGTGAGAGAAAAATGCAGACCCAAATTCAAAATCATAAATAAAAACAAGGTTTACTGGTCTGATAGAGACTGGCAAAACCCCTGAGAGTATGACCCCTAATCACCTTTGGGCTTGATGTTGAACTCACTCCATGGCTTCTAGCCAAACAATAGACAGACATATCAGGTGAACATTTACACCAGGTAGGTACACTCCTTAGAAAAATCAACTATGAGAGATCAGAAGAGCAGTATTTGTGCAGGCAGAGCTCAGAGGTCAGGAATGCGTAGGAAAGAAGGACACAGGGAAAAGGTACCCACAGGGAGGAAGTGGGAAGAGAGCTGTTACATTATGGTGATTGCAGTCAATGTCATGAAACAAAATGTGTATGAAATGAATTTGCTCTGTAAACTTTTCACTCAAGTCATAGACACACACATATGAAAGAACCACTGCTACAGAATATATCATTATCCCAAAATATATAATTGATGTTTATTGTATAATAAAATTCCTTAGGCAAAATCTTCAAATCAATGAAGGTCATTTTCCTTTGGGGAAACAAGCCTAGATTTCCTTTACTGCCCTCTCCCTTCCCTCTAAAAGTTCAAAGAGCAACATTTTATACACTGAAGTTACCATAGCAACACAGTCTGTTTCATGTATTGTGAAAAAGTGGAGAAATAAACGAGTTACTTTCTAAGCCTGGAAAGCAGAAGATCTGGAGATTTATTGAGGAGGCACCACACAAGCAAGTTTTTGCTTCCTATCTGTGACAGTGGCTCCATTTTAGGAGGTTTGTTTATTTGATGACAGCAGGGTGTTTCCCCCTCCTCCATTTTAATTGAATAGAGAAAGTGTTCATAGTGGCAATTTGAGAAGTGATTACTAAGGAAATTGCCTTCAAGTCCCTTTTCTACCTTAATTTTTGAAGGAGGCACCAAATATCAGTTTGACTTTAAACACAAGAGCTGCACACAGACATAATTAAAACTGTTCAGGAAAGATTTTGTATGTTTGTTCCCCAGAGGTTAAAAAATCAGCACTTTTCTTTACTGAGTCTATTAGAGCAACAGTCAGAGTGATTTGTAATCTCACAGAGGCTCCTTGCTATAGTGGGTGGAGCATGTGCTTGGGGAGGCAGACAAATACAGGTTCAAAACCCAGATCCACCACTTACAGGCTATGTGACTTTAGGTAAGGCATTTGCCTTCTCTAAACCTTAGTGTCCTTGTGGTAAAATAGAGTTCCTTCCTCGGGGTTCTCATGAAGACCAAAGTTTAGTCTGATTCATAATAGTTCAAATACAAGTCAGTTCTTTTGTGGAGTCCCTGGGAGGTTTAAACAGTGAAGAACACAACAATGAGCCGAAAAGTGGCTATTCAGACCGACCCAGAGGTCCTCAGAAGACAGGCCTAGCAATCTGCTGCTGACAGATCACAGCCACTGAAAACCCTATACAGCACAGTGGGGTCAACAACAACAACAAAAAAACAAACTCGCTGTCATCAAGTCAGACCCAGCTCATAGCAACCCCTCCTTGGGTTTCCCAGGCAGTATCACTATGGAAGTAGATTGCCCAGTCTTCCTTCTGAGGATGGCTGGTGGGTTTGAACTGCCAGCCTTTGGGTTAGCAGTCAAACACAAGTTAGAGTCAACTCGGTGGCAGCTAAAAACAGTTACTTTTTTGTGTCTTCCTTTTCATTTTTTTCTCATAGAATCTGGTAAATAATGCATATGAAAGGTGCTTTCAACACAACAAAGCCATATACAATAATAGGTATTTTGTGCCTCACTCTTGGATGGAAGTGAAGTAGTGTGTTTCCTCTTTCAGGTCATGATGCAGGTCCAGAGTCACCCTGTCCCCGTCATCGCCATGGTGAATGGCTTGGCCACAGCTGCTGGCTGTCAGCTGGTTGCCAGCTGTGACATTGCTGTGGCGAGCGACAAGTCCTCTTTTGCCACCCCTGGTGTGAACATCGGCCTCTTCTGCTCTACCCCAGGGGTTGCCTTGGGAAGAACAGTTCCTCGAAAGGTAATATAACTTCCTTTGGCCCCTTCTCTAGTTTTAATCTTCTACTTCTAATGGTGGTTAATTTCAGAATTAGCTTGTGAAAATGCCAATTATAGCAGGACATCCTGTCCCAAGCATATCTGAGTAGTGTGCCTAATGTTCTTCTAATGTCTCTGGTAAGGTAGGGAACAGCCAACTGCCTCTCCCTGTGTAGGTTTCTTACAGTGGACATCAGTTTGTGAAGTCACCACATGTCAATCTTGTATTCCCCTCAATATGACTAGTTGTTTTTTTGTTTTGCTTTGTAGTTTTTATAAAGGAACATATTTTTGTAATATAATTTCAAATGCAATTGAGACTCAGTTTTGTTGCATTGAATAGTTGCCCATGAGATAAAATTGTTGTTGTTATTTGCTATCGAGTCAGCCCCGACTCATAGCGACCCCTCCTTGGGTTTCCAAGGCAGTATCACTACGGAAGTAGGATTGCCCAACCTTCCTTCCGAGGAGTGGCAGGTGGGTTTGAACCGCCAGCCTTCTGGTTAGCAGTCAAGTGCCTTAGGCACTATGCTACCAGAGCTCCTATGAGATATAATAGCATGCTGAAATAATGCCATACAAGAGGCTAAGATAATGATGTCACTGACTTACTGTTTGTTGATAATCTGACTTGCTCCAGAAAGGATTTAAGGTAGCTGATGGACGGAGTGTGTCTTGTTTACTATTGTTGCATTTCAGGAACATGAATAGTGCTGTGCATGGTCAGTTAAATCTTCCCAAGAAGAAGCCAAATTACAAAAGCTGTTTTGTCACTGCTAACTCTGTTGACGTAGTGCCTAAGGCACTTGACTGGTAACCAGAACATTGGGAGTTCAAATCCACCAGCCACTCTTCAGAAGGAAGTTTGGGCAATCTACTTCCATAGAAATACTGTCTCAGAAACCTAAGGAGGGGTCGCTATGAGTCAGAGATGACTCGACAGCACATAACAACAACAACAACTACAGTGAAGTCCATTTTCTTCAAGAAGCTTTGTTTCTTCCTCTAAACATTGTAAAATAATATTTACTGAACATCCCTTAAGGGTAAACCATCAGTGTTCTTGTTCTAGAAAAAAGTGCATCTTCATTCTCAATAGGAAGTCTGTAAAAAAAAAAAGGAGTAAAGTCATACACCCGCAAGTAGGGAACCTAAATTACTTTCTAGAATATATTATCTATTTTAACATGAACCACGAAAATTAGCAGTTGTTCATATGCCTAAGGCACAAAAGAAAGGATGCCCAAGGGAAATCAAGCAGCAGGACCAAGAAGTTTAGAGAAGTATTCTTTTCTTTTATATTGCCTCCTTATTAAATTTTGTAGAAATGTGTGTTTGTGAGGAAATTCTGAAAAATTTGATAAGCATACATACTTAAAAAAAAATTGTCTGCAAGTGGCCTCCAAACTGCAGAGAGTGACCTTGCTAAAATGTATTCACACTAAGAGGCTATTTTTGATTGCTAATTTTAAATGTATTCATTCAGTAAATAAACTAAAATGCATTCCAAAACTATTGTCAGGATTTACTAATAAACTAGCTTATAATTGTGCAAATCAAATCATGAGACCTATGTGTAGTAAAAGGTGGTGAATTGTTTGCCTACCTGACAGCTGTTCATCTTCCTCAACAATGGACATGCTGGAAGGCTTCCATGCTAATGCATTGTAAACCTTTAAATCAGCACTACTATCAGGATAAGAAAGGAGCTCTGGTCATGTAGTGACTAAAGCATTTGGCTGCTAACCCAAAGGTTGGCTGTTCGGCCCACCAGCTGCTCCATGGGAGAAAGACTAGACAGTCTGCTTTCATAAAGATTTACAGCCTTAGAATCCTGTTTTGGTTACCTTGGCACCTCTGACAAGAATATACCACAAATGGGATGGCTTGAACAGGAGTTTATTCTCTTCCAGTTTAGGAGGCTAGAAGTCCAAGTTCAAAGTGCCAGGCTCTAGGGGCTGGATAAAAGCCCCTAGACCTTGGGCTTCAACTCTGCCTCTTGCTCCCAGCTAAGAGGCATCTCTTCACTCAGGCAGCTACTGGCTGCTGAGGCTAACAAGCCCAAGGTTGACAAATAAATTGGCACAGTCCCAATGTTACCAAACCACATGGCAGGTCATTAATTCAAGTCCATTGAAAGTCCCAAGGTCAGTAGAGCATGGCAGTCTGCTGAACAATGACACGGCTACATGCAGGGTTCAAGTGTGCCATAAGCTAGAGACCATTCCCAAAGCTGTTTCTTATATATGGGAAGCAGACCACATAGTCAAAGGTAGCAGCTACTCAGCTGCTCACAGTAGATTCCACCATGGGGTTGATTATCAGTCTCATTATGGTAATCTCATCCAGCCCAGCCACTCAACCAGGCCCAGCCAAGTTGACACACAAACTTAACCACCACAACTCCCTAGAAGGTCACTATGCATCAGAATTGACTTGGTGGCAGTGGGTTTAGATCAGGATAAGAAACCATTCTTTCTTAAAAACAAACAAAACAGTTCTGAAGTCAAGACTTACTGTAATGAAAGATTAATAGACATTTAAACCCTATATCACATTTGTCAAATTTTAAATTAGTTTTGAGCAAAAATAGGGGGAAAAAAAGTTACAAAAATAGGCCTTAAATTTCAAAGCAGCCAAATTCTCAGAACCACATTGCATGGTTGGCCAGTGTGACAGATTAACGAGGAGGGACACTGTAAACACCAAAGTAGCTTTTCCCTCCCAAGGAAAGTTTTGGTCAGGGTTAGGCCTGCGGAGACAGGGGCAAAGAAACCCCCTGCATCGTCCTACTCAGATTCCTGGACTGTGTTCCTAGTGTGTGATCCTCAGAAAACCTCGGACACAGTTGTAGCATTTTTGTTTTCCAGGCTTCAGAGATATTTCTTTCTCAAACCAGCCATCTAAGAGTGTTTCAGAGTTCTATCAATAGATGTCCTTATATATTGATCTCATTAATGCTGAGCTACTTGAAGGCATAAATCAGATGGATGGTTTGGGGTTAACACTAATGAGCCAAAATCACAGTGCTTATAACAGGAATTTAGTAGAAGGAAAAGTCTGCTGGAATATGAGGCCTTTGCCAGACTCCTGGATCCACAGATCTGACTTATAACTGCATGACCTGTTTTTAGAGGAAATACAGGAATTCATAAAAATCCCAACTCTGAACAATCATTGAGAAACAAGGGCTGCCTATGCACAGGGAGACAGCTCAGGGGGCAGGAGTCCATGGAGGGATGGACACTGGGAAGAGGTAACTATGGGGAAGAAGTGGGAGGGGAGCTGTTGCATTGTGGTAAACTGTGGTCAATGTCATGAGCAGTTTCCATATATAAACTGCTGTGTGGAAAGTGAATTTGCTCTGTAAATCTTCACCCAAATCACAATTAAAAAAAAAAAAAAATTGCAACTCTACCAAAAAACACCTGCTTGCCCTCCTTGCTGGATTATACTCAGCCAGACACATTCACACACAGGTTCATCACGTTATAGGGATGTGGGTCATGTCCCACATGCACGTCCACAGGGTGCTTTTCCAAATTGGACTAGAAAGGGAGTTCCTGTGATTTTCACAGTGGCCCAGCTACTGAGAGATTGATAGATAGTTCAAGGCCACCCAGAGGTGTCTCAGAAGAAAGACATGGTGATCTACTTCCAAAAATAGCCACTGAAAACCCTATGGAGCACAGTTCTACTCTAACACACTTGAGGTTGCTCTCATCTATGCAACCGCAACTGATAAAACCGCATATATGGGTCACCAGCGCCCTCTGCTGGTCTCCAGTGGAAGCTGTTTACTGTTTCTATGCTGAAAACTAGAAAGATGGAGTAGAGCCCCTGTGTTCAAGCTAGACTGAGCCTGAGCATGAATAATTTTCCATGTTTGTAAAATGTTTCTCTCCTTTTGTGTAAGTTAAATAATGCATCATCATTGCACCATACAAACAACCTGCCTGGTGCAGCTGCTCCCTGAGCTAATTAGAGCTGGCCTGGTTCAGAAATACAGAGCCAGCGCCTCAAATGGGAGAGCATATAAAAAATCAGAACCTCTTCCTCCGAAACAAGTAATTTCTCAGTGGCAGACACTCTTACTTCCACCTACTTACCCATTTTAACTTTGTGACTCTGTAGACTCAGATTTCCTAGTAGTCTAAGAGTAGGATTTCCAAGCTGGAAAGGGTACTTAACTACTCAGAGTGTGGTACGCTAACCAGTGGTACCAGCCTCGTGAAAACCTGTGAGAAACGCAGTCTCTGCTTATCTCACAACTCTGGGGTCAGAATCTGTATTTTAAAAAGCTCTCCAGTGATTTGTATGCCCATCAGAGTTTGAGAGTTGGAGAAGGCTTACCTTAGAGAACAGTCAGATTTATAAAAGGGTCTCAGTACATACCTACTGTTTCCCAGCTAATTGGTCTCATGATTCCAGCTTCATTTGCTCTAAACCCCTAATGCTCAGGCACTGCCCGGGCCATGGTGAGAGAGCACAGGCATGTGGCTGGTGTGGCTCAAGGGTTCCAATCAGCTGTGGGGAAAATGTACAGCAGTGCATCTGCGACTCCCTCATCACTGCAGCCTTCACATGGCTGCATAAGAATATGGCAAACACACCATGCCCACCCACAAGAGCATGGTGTAAGGAGCGCTGTAGCACACAGCTGTTGATATATGTGTGACCTGAGGGGATCACCCCCTTTCAGGTGCCATCATACCTTAAATCCAACGTTAGAGACTCATAGAAATTTACTGTTGGAGTAAATGTATTTTATGCTTACTCTAAGCCTTACCTAATTCTCTCTAATCTTCACAACACTGCAGAAGGATAGATGTACTTATTCCCATTTTTCAGATGAGGAAACAGACTCAGAAGGGTTAAAATTTTCACTTAAAGTCTTGTAGTTAATAAGGGGTAGCTCTGGGATTGTAACTCTGGTACATATGACTCCAAACATCAGGTCTTTCCACTAAGTCACACTGCCTC